GACAGGGAGGCCGGAGGATGAGGATGATATTTTTGAGAGCTTTCAGAGGACGGAGGAGGTGCGTACTCTATACTCACGTTCTGCCTTTGTGTACAGGCGGGACCGGGCCACCTAGCCTGAAGTCGACAGGCATGTCCATCTGCCGGACGTGCCGTTCCTGCCGACAAATAAGCTCTGCGCGCTATCTTGTCCTTTACATTTGCTTACTCGCCTTCACAGTTAGTTTGGACCTTATTCTACAACGAAGGATCGAAGGACATGCGTCTCGCCATTGGTCGGCCTCACGGGTATCGATCGACAGCTCTGAAAGTGTTCACAGCCACGAACATGCATATTGTGAAGCGCGAGATTGAGAAGGCCTTCCCCGCAATCAAAAAAGCAGGAGAGGGCCACTTTAAACACTACCCGAAGTACAAGTCCAAGTGTTTTAACGCGTTGACGAAGGACGAGAAGGGTGTCTACGCGACTCTGGCCGCACAGTGGAATGAAGACGGACCTTCCCCGGAGGTGAAGGCAAAGTACTCTCCGCGCGACCAACAAGTCTTTGCCTGCGCTGATCTCTCTGTTAGAAATGCGAGGCGCAATCTTGCTCGTTACATGAAGCGAGTTCAGTTTGATTATGGGGTAATCATCACATGCGGCACGCCCGGCACCGACAGCAAGCCGAAAGTGTAAGTGATGATGACGGACGCATCGGCAGGTCCGGCAGCTTACCTTCCGGCAGGTGGGACTACCTTCGCGAGCTTAACTTCTCCACGGAACGGCTGGCAGAGTATATCGACTGGTCACCAGTTCTGGTACGGGTTGAGGAGTTCACCACCAAGTCGTACAGTGCGTGATTATGTACTATACGCGAACTTCTCGACATTGACTCTGCTCCAGCGGCTTTCCTGGCGAATAAAGCGGTAGAACCCCCGGCACCCGCGGTTCCACGAGACGCGCTTCCTCTAAAGAAAAAGCTCAGGCCCAGTGACCCAAGCGGGGTAACTTTTACTATCGACACGGACAATCATCGCGTCCGGCTGCCGCAATCCGAGTATGCCGCGAATCCCGAGTTCTTCATGCAACGAGAGGGTCCACTATACACGCAGTGTATGCGCATGGCTTTTCGTACGTCTGTACCAGTACTTCCAGCGATGCTGCTAACTGCTATCTGCTATCCAGAGCTTGCGACTAATAGGGAGGGCAAAGTCATGATTCCGTGGAAAGACATTCAACGCGATCCCCACCATTTCCTTCCTGATGAGCTCATCCTGGACGGCGTCGTGTTCAACGACCCGTCACATACCGCTGCAGCGCATCACATCAAATGTGTTGATCTATGGTTATCAACAGGCTATATCTACGTCAAAAACGTGAAGATGGGGCGAGAAACGATTGCCGCGCTGGAGGGCACGGCCGATCCTGCCGGACCTGCCGATGCCCTGTCCGTCATCCCCAGTATAGTCGTCAATCGATATGGAAGCTGTGGACAGGAAGTACTACTTGCCACCGGTATAACGCTTTATGATGACGGTATTGAGGACGTTATTGGCTCTGAAGTAATGGGAGATATGCTCATCGATCCAGCCGAACTTCAGCGTGGGGAGGATGAAGAACACTCGCATCTAGCGCCTTGTACTGTGCCAGAGACGTCAGAGGCACGTGCGCAGTACATTCTAACTGCACTGCAGCTGGTAAAGCCTGGGAAAGATCGCAATCTTGCCGTGCAATGCGTACAAGAGCTCGTGATAATGGCGGTGAGTTAGTCACCGGCATGTTCGGCAGGCCGGCAGGGTCGGCAGATGTGCTAATAACTCCATTCTGCAGTGGAACCCACGAGACGCGTCGACAGATGAACAGATAGAGGCATCATGTGGGGATCAGTATATTGCGCCGGATGCTATCTCATGGGACGCCGATAGCCCCTTGCTACGCGATGACGACGCACTGGCCGTACGCATGTGGTTAGGATCACGTCCTTACGATCATTCCGGATTTTTAGGGTGGAGCCAGGGCTGGAAATACCTACTCGGCATGCTCATGTTTTTGGTCAGTGAGACGTCACGCACGGTAAGATCGAATCTACATAAGCAAAGTTCTCTGAGTGATATGAATTTACAGATCAATGTCCATGAGCTGAAAGAGAGCCGGCAGTGGGCTGTCATCATGGATGCCATTCCAGACAATTCCGGCACCTGGGACACGGTCTTGGGTCGGCAGGTGCTTTCCGACGACTTCGAGCACTTTTATGAGGCTGTTCGCGTCCTCAACACACGGACACGCTGGCCTGGTACACCTCCGTCCTGCCGCTATCGCTTTGCCACCAGCCGGTGCGGATATATAACTCGCATTTTCTCAGTGGAAGGGGTAGTGGATTTGGCGCATCTCATTACCTTGATGGTGCGTGATGCTTTCCGGCCTCCGGCAGGTGCGGCAGCTGACATAGCCGGCAGCCGGCACCCATTGATGAGGACGCTCCTCTGGGTACTGCCCGCACATGGGGTAGCTGGGAGTGGGGTCGATGCGGACTTCCTAGTGGCATGCATAAGGGCACAGACAAAGCCTCTATGCAGGATCTGAAGGACTCCTGGACGTCAGATGCCGTGTTTTTCACGTCCTCTGGCCAACTGAAAGACAGAGAAGAGGGCCTGCTGATCCTTCTGCAGTGGGCTCTGGCATACTCGGACTTCGCTCATATGTGTTCGCTTCCAGTCGAGCAGCAGCCTTGAGTCATGCAGACTTCGACCTTTGACGCTGTCGAATGCATGACGGCAATCGAGAATGCGGTGGAGGTCTCCATTCCTCTGATACGTGCGGCCCTTCAGATGGAAAATATTCCGCCGCGACCCGGGGCGATGAGAAGAGTCTGGAATGTCTCCCCAGACCTACATGCTGATCTGGTGGAAACCATGATGAGTCTACGCTCTCCTGCTCTACCCGGCACGCAACGAGAGCAAGTACTGCGTATGGCCCATCAGCGAGAAGCGTATTTCTCGCGCATGCTACTGCAGAACGGGCGCATCGGGAGGAAGATTCTGGTGGACAGGCGAGATGCCGCCGCTGCCGGTGCTGCCGGGCCATCCGCTCGTGGGCTGCCAGACCTGCCGGCTCGTCCGACTGCCGCTAAGAAGCGAAAGGAGAAGACTGTTCCTCTTGTTCCTGTTCTCCCTCTTAACTCAAGACCTTTCCCTACTCGTGCACCGGCATCGCCCCCACCAGAGGTGGTAATGTCCGCCCTTACGTCCGCCAGAAAGCGATACAGACGGAGAAGCTCTCAAGGAGGAATCTCCCGGTCGAAGTCAAGGGGTCGCGGGAAGGCCAAGCAGGCGTCTAAGGCTACCGGTGGGAAATCAAGATCCAGGCGCCGAAACTCCAGTGTTAGGTTCCAGATAGATGACGACCTTTTCTTGGATGACTCGGCAGTCGCAACAGAGCCAGAGACGTCAGAAGACGAGGAAGACTTTGCATCTGAGATGGCCGACATTGAGTCTGACGCTCCTACCACCCCTGTTGGCCCTCCAAAATCGCGACCGAAGCCTCGTCCGGTTCGCCGAAGCAAGACTATTGCTGCAACCACAGACCAGGAAGACACTACCGATGGCGAGCGTGCAAGCCGTACCGGACGCGCCGGGCATGCCGGACGTGCTGCTAGTGCCGCCAGGTTTCGAACTCCCTCACCTATTCGCTCGACCTCCCCGCGTACCCCGCTTACCCCAAGTCGTCGCCGCGTGTTTGTACAGCTCACCCCTAGAAGCATGCTGAAAGGTCAAGCAGAGCAAGATTCATAATACTAGTGTAGATACATAATGGACCATGTATACTACATATACTTACTCTTACGCCTTTTCACCGGGGTAGGAGCGGAGGCCGACTCCCTCTCCAATGCCGTACGCTTCCTCAGATTTGATGGGCCGGCCTGGGCTGAGGAACTGCCTTGTCCAAGGCCAGTTTGACGAGAAGGACCTGCTTCGGCATGTCCGGCAGGGCCGGCCTCGCGTGAAGGGCCGGCTTCGGCAGGGCCGGCAGTCGGCAGTATCTCCATGGATATCGCGTCTTCGTTCTCGGCCGGCCGCCCGACAGTTCCGCCCGGATGCGAGCGATATCCTCCATGACCTTGCGGCCGGCGTCAGAAGTCTCGAGCGTGCGACCCATGAGATCCTGCATGGAGACGGCGCGGCAAGCATCCTGGACATGACGCGTGTAGATGGCCGAATGCGCCCATGCCAGGTCCATGCCGGCCGATCGCAAGTTCCTCGGAAGAGGCGGCGCCTCTAAAGGCTCTTGGGCAACCTCGCGAACCCAGTCATGAAACCAGTCTAAGATACATTGTTTCAGTGTGTGTAGATCTATGTTGAGGGAGCGGAACGTACCTTTATGTCCGAAGACGGCCCAGAAGGCGGCATCACCGGCATGTGTCGTGGCCGAGCGTGTTCGGGCGGGGCGTGGAACCTCGGTGAGATTAGGCGGCAGCGGGTACCAGTACCTGCGCTGACGCTCTTGCACTACTCAATAGTCAGCTGAGTCACCCGCTGTGCAGTACATGACCTACCAAACCCAGGTTCCTCCTCGCCGTCAGAGTTGAACGAGATCACTTCCTCGGTTCGGAACTCAGGCGCCTTCACCCTGAACCGGGGAGGCGTTCTTCTGATGCCGCCTCTTGGGGGGCTGCTACCGTCAATACTAATAGGTGAGCCCTGCCTACCAGCAGGGGCTGGCAGGGCTGGAGCAGGGGCTGGCGTGGGACTTGAAGGCGGCGACGACTTCGGGCGGGGAGTGCTTGCCGAGCATTGGCGGATCTATTACACATGCCTGCAAGTGAGATTCGCAGTGCAACGTTTAAAGATTTCAACAGAAACGTACGAAAGATGAGTTGGAAGGCAGCAACGACTTCGGGCGAGGGTTGCTTGATGTACGAGGGTGAACGGTCGAAGTCCGCTTGCCGCCTGCCGCCGCTGCCGGATGCAAAGACGCTGCCGGTTGTGCCATACCTGCCGGACTGGACAGCTTCTTTCCAGTACAGTTTCCCTTGCCTGTATCCGAGGTGCTGGTGCGCGTACGAGCTGCTGTAGCAGTTGATGGCTCGATGATAGCGCGGGAGGAGTCGGACGCGTTCGACTTAGCGCGAATTTGATCGGGTGACGGCCCGGTGATGCCGGTTGATGCCGGTGTAGTAGCAACCGCAGCAGTAGGACCTAGCACTTGGATTAGTTACAAAGAGCGCGTATATTGTTAGTGTACGCACCTGACTCTTCCCCGCTGTCCTCATTATCGCTGAGCACGTTGGGAAGCTCTGCAGCCCAGTCA